TGAGCTTTTTCAGTGATTTCTTCATAAAGCGAGTCAGTCATGGTTCATAATGAACACTAATGCTAGTCGTTGCTTGATCAATACCTCCTACAGCTGAGCCACAAAATTAAAGCTGATTTTCTCGTTAAAGACTCGTAATTATTTCATAACATAGGAAGATTTTGAACTCGTAATTATTTCATATTAATACAGAAGTCATTCTTATATAAATTCAAAATTTTCACCTCCCACAAAAGATTTAGAGGGGCCTATATATTTTCAAAAGCTTAAGCTTATATCAGTTTTTTTTATCACTTATGGCTTTTATAATAAAATTTATTTGGGTAGAATAGTAATTTATTAGCCAATTCTAGTTTATTAAATGAGCATATAAGCTAGATTTTTAAAAGCTGAGAAGCATACCAGCCCTTTCAAATGAGTCCCACTAGAGGCACACCATCAACCACACTCTCAACCACACCCCACATTTTCTATAGTACGTGCTTGTGGGCCATGCATGATATTTTAAAAAAAAATATCATGCATGGTCCACTAGCACTGTAGAGAGTGTGGAGGTGTGGTTAGGAGTGTGGTTGAGGGTGTGCCCCTAGCATTATTTCTTTCAAATAGAGCTTATAGGCATGCATATTTGGTATTTTATAAAACAGGTAAATGCAAAAAAGTTAGTTAAAACTTCAAATTAGTTTGACCAAAAACTAATCACAGTGTCTAATGTGGACTCAAAAGGGCTTCTTCTAATTGGCGTATTAATCTATTCAACTGGAGTCCTTAACAAACTCATCAAACGTCAAAATGCACCTTAAGCTCTTTGCAACGTTGCATCTTGGTTACCTGACCTAATTCATCTCGAACATATTTGGTTCCAGTCCACCACATGAACCGAATAGCAACTATAACACTATTTTGCAGAAAGACCACCAAAACAAAATATACTTTGCAACGTATATCCACTCATCTTTTGATACCAATTATTGTGAGTACATATATAATAAAAGCATATAACTGAATTAGTTACCGGACTCAGTGACACCCCCTGACCATTAGTCGCTCGTTTCTAGCTCATGGAAAACGGTAAATCAAGAATATATATATTCAGGTTCTGGAAAAGCTCGGGGAGATGAGCATTGGTGAGCCTGGTCCTCTTGGTGATCTCCTTCTGCTTCTTCTGTTTCTTAGGCTTCGCTGGCAAACCATGGACCTCAGCCATGACCCTTCTCTTTGCAGTATTAGCGGCGGGCGGGCTTCACGCCATTCTTCTGAAGATCCTTCTCGATATCCACCATGTCTCTTGGTAGCTCGGTACTACGAAATAGCTGTTTGAGATCGTCGTCCACTTTGATCACTGCTTTTGGGTCGTTCGGATAGTATACAATGTCCTCTTGTGAGTCCATGTTAACTGGATAGGAACCATACGTTGCCTGCAGTCTTCAGAGTCTGCTCGAGCATGATATCATGTTAATTGTGACACAGTTAACATGTTTTGAAGGAGGATATTTAATTGAGGGCTGGTGCATCGCTGACGTGACACATCCAGTTTGTCAGTTATGGTCTGAATATGTTAATAATTTGGGTGCTTGTAGTTCGGATGTATTAGTGACACATTAGCCAGACTCTGATGTATCAGTGACACATTAGCCATACTCTAGAGGGGGCACAATGCTTCCAGTTTATTCTATAAGAGAAAGGGTAAATTACACAATAATCATGACATTGACTCTGCTGAAATGACCAAACTCCAAAGAAAAAAAAGGTTCTGAAACACTCAATTACACTAAATCATTATTGGTAATGGACAAGAAATATCTATATGATAAGATGCTATTGGTACATGTGCATGCATGGTAAGTCGATACGTTGTAATACAGGCAGGCCAGCGGTAATCTTGGAAATCATAACAAATAAAAGAAGAAAATGGCATAGATAACATGTACAGCGTATATCATTAGGTGATGAAGTTAGTAATAGAATATTTATAATGAAGGAAAGAAGGGGTACGAGATGGCAACTCAGTATACTAATTGAAATGATCTATCAAAAGATAGACTAATACGAGACCCGCTAGTCACATTGAATCAGGTGGACCTCACAAACTCTATCTCTCAGTAGTTCATTTTGCTACGTAAGGTAGCAACTCACATCCGGCGTCAACTAAACGAAAACATTCTAACTCGAAGATTGTAAATTACATTTGCAGTATATATAGGAAGAGCTCCAGTCAGTCCTTGTCTGTGCTAACTACTATGAAAGAAAGCAAATTAGATGAATATATTTAAAAGGAGATCCATAGATTTAACATTTCATATCTAGCCATGTTCTGATTATCTGAAGACTACAGCGTTTAGGAACAGGGGGTCCAGCCATTCCTTGAAAAACAAAACTCTGCAACAGAAGGTGTTGGGGAAAACCCCGATGCTGAGATCCAATACCAAATAGCCAATCAAGAAGGCCAAACACAACCAAATCAATAACACAAATTACAAACACCAATTTTAACGTGGTTCGGCAATTGCCTACGTCCACGGGGCAAGGAGGGAGAGTTTTTACTAATAGAAATTAAGGGGATACAACTAGGGTTAAAAATCTCACCAAAAACCCACAACAAATCACTCTTGATCTCTCCAAAATGCTCCAACAATAGAAGCCCACAAAACCCCTCTCAATGGCTGCTAAAACCCTCTTGCTCTAAGCCCTAAAACGAGTTTTGGGTATTTATAAAAATCCCAAACGAAACGGGTCTGGATACAAACCCAACCCAAAAACCGCATCGCGGTTGACCGCCACGATCGACCGCCCCAACTCCAGAGACTTATGGCCACGGGCGCGATCGACTGTGACGGTCGACCGCTACAACTCTAGAAACTCACATAGTCTCTGGCCAAGGGCGCGGTCGACCGCCAACTCCGAGAAGCTCAACCAAGATCTGTGCACGAATGCGGTCGACCGCCAGACACCCACGGTCGACCGTGAGACACCCAAAAGCACACTCACGCCTTTTCCAAGCGGTCTTCCCCAATACGCTCGCCAATCCTACAGAAGGCACATAAATGTGTTTTCCAGACTTCTTGATACTCTACAGTCAAGTCAATTCTTGCCCTGTTTCAGTTTCAGCAACACGGAGGCCCCTCCGGATACTTCCGTATCAAAGTAAGAAGACTGGCTTTTCCACGCAGAGGTATATATAATTAGGATTTCTACATGATAAACTTCTATCTTGAAATCAAGTATCAATTATCAACCTTTAATTCATAAATAATTTGTGGGGGCTCAAAAATAAAGAGATTGCTCCACCACATATGAAAGTGTCTGATGACCGTAGCTGTATAATGAAAATAAAAAAAAAATAAAGAGATTGCTCCACCACATATTTAAGCTAGGCTTCTGCCTCTTGAAGGCAGGAGATGTCAGTTATCACTTCCTTCCCTTTTGACGCTATTTAATTAATTACATGGATAAATTACCCAAAGACCCAAAGCCTCCCTAGTTTTATTAAGCGAAAATAAAAAACAAAAATTGCACAAGAATTCGCTCTAGGGCGGCGGAAAAAAACGACGAAGCGCATTGATCTCCAGGGTTAAATCCTCAACTCCTACCGACCAAAGATCCTCAATTGAATAATGATTTTGCTGGAGAAAAAATAGATCAATTTTTTAGGGAAGAGGAAAGGGCGGTTTTTTTTTTTGAAGGCAGGGGAGGTGAACGAGAGCGATCGAGAGTTTTGACGGTCGAGGGGGCATAAATAAACGTACGATAAGGGGATGGGTCGGGGTGGTAACGGGTCGGGTACTGTAGGATCCGATTGGGTGCCCATTGTAAACATGCATGCAGGATCAATTTTTCTATGATGTGTCACTACTATTTATCCGTTTGTTCATCTGTATCTACTTTCTATACTACGTCTATACTATATCTATATATTTACTAAAACATTTTGTTTTTTTTTTTTGAACTGTAGGCGGCCGATGTTCACACCCTAAACGTTTGTGATCTTGGCTACCCATGAAATTTCTCACCTTGTGTGTTCATAAAATTTCCAACATTTGGGTGTATATGATACATGCAAAAGATCAAACTAAGCTCTTTGAAGCTCTTCAGAAAAATTACAAAAATCAGTATGTTGTTTTGTGACAAGCCATATAAAAGGAAGTATCAGCTAATAACATATTGATCTATATATCAATCATGTTGGAAGTATGTCGTTCAAAAATTGTCAAAAAAGGGTAAATGATATTGAGACCGTGTCGTATGCATCAAGCCTCCAGAATGGATATATCGGATTGATATATCGATCAATTCATGAATGTTGTAGCGGATGAAGTTACAGAGATGATCACGAGACAACTTTTTGAGAAGAAATTTAGAATCTAAAATCTGGCCAGAAGGAATTGCTTGTTTACATAGCTTGATGGGAAAGCCCGGACTTAATTCTCGGATTAATGCCCCGGGGACCCCAAATAGGAGACCCCGGGAGAGACATGTGGGCTGTCCCCCTCCGGTTGGATGATGCACTATTCCAACCGGAGGGGAACAGCTCACCTTTCCCCACCGGTCCCTGTAGAAACGTCGTAATTATCGGCTTTAAGGATCTTTTTTATTTTTGGGCCTTATCACTAATGACTGTTTACCTCAACTATCAATTACCACTTGTGAAGATGCCTCAAGGGCTTAGAATACTTCGTCTCCATGTGCTTGCCCAGTAAATTATGTTGCTTTCGTTTCCTTTTCAAACTTCTCGAAGTACATATCCCAGTTCGGAGCTTTAGGCGTTGAACTAATTATTGTTCTAATAACCTTTGCGCGACGATATAAGAAATTTTCTTCAAAATCAAATTTGTTTTGCAGTCCAAACCTCTAATACAGAAAACTGCCAACATTCAGACCAAGAGACTAGCTATCACATAGAACACAACAGCTAAAAGTGAAACATCAATCGCAGTCCAATTTAAAGCTGATGGTCTTCAAAAACTTAACAATCCAGGCAACTGAAGGGAATCACCCTGAAGGATATCCAAATGAGCTGCGCGCTAAGCGCAAATAAGCAAATGAAGCATTTTAAAGATAAAACATATCCAATTAACCATATTAAAGCAAGTTACTCGAAAACAAACAGTCTCTTTCAGACCCAGCAAACTAATTTTACTGAACCTAAACATCAAGGAAAATTCAGAGTCCAAAACAAAACGCAACAGAAGTACCCTTAGAACCAAATAACCAAAAACATTCGATCATTCCTCATCCTCGTCTCCATCATCACCACCTGCCGCCTTCTTCTTAGCTGCAGCCTCGCTCTTGCGCTTCACTCTTCCAGGTTTCCCTCCGCCAAAGGGGCTTGATAGTGCAAAATCAATGTGCTTGGCTGACTCAAGCTTCACCAAGAAAGAGGGAACATTCACAACTTGCCTCCCAACCCTACATAGAGAGTATCAAAACATTAATATCAAAGCTATAAACTCAAAGAGCAACTTAAAACAGAACATTTTTAATGTTGAAGCTGCCCATCCGGAATCAATTCAAAAAAATTATGATCAGAAATGATTAAAATCATAAATGCTGATGTTA